ACTTCAGCAAGCCACATTTAATAGTAAATTCATCCCTCCTATTCATAACTAGGGATCCATATTTGGGGAAATATATCTAATGGGCGGTTTTCTGTTGCATCGTCAATTAGGGTGATTAATGAGGGTGGAGTGGAATCAGGTGGTGGGAGTGGAATCACGTAGAGTCTCTCAGAGTTGCTGGTAGCTGATCAGGTACAATGCCTTGTTAGTGTAGCACCTTGGTAATCAAATACCGAGGTTACGAGGTGTTGAACTAGAGAGGTTGCAGTAGGAGCTCTGAGGGAACTCTAGAATAGTTAACTAAGGGCGGGCTAATAGTTAACTAAGGGCGGGCTAATGGACTAAAGACATTCATTACCCCCGACCTCGTTACACCAATCTGGCTAAATACCATATTCCATCATCTCTAAGAGTCCTCCATTATAATGATTTCTAAATGAAGACTCTGTTGGAAGCCTCATCAGATCATCATATGCCCCAGTAAGAGAAACCTTGCAGCAACTTACAAGCAACATTCATATAGACGCTTAATTGACAGGATAATACAAATGGTTTAAATTGTTTTATGTTGTTTATTTATTGAGAAGAGTGTGTAGTGAGGCAAGTTAGTGATGGAATAGTTAGTAAAGATAACTAGAGGTATGGTAAGGGAAAAATCAGGATAAAGAACTAAGCCATTACGCATATATAACGTTTAGAAAGACTGAGGATAAGGATTTAGGATTAGACGGGGGAAGGAATAGTGCCCAACCACTTGAACGGTCGGGGATTGAACGCCGACCTGCATGAAGCGAGTCCGTCACTCTGGTCTCTAGTCCAATTGAAGATTGTGTGTAGTGAAGATAATTACAGTGACGTAGAAGGTGTGTAATGAAGATTGTCACTGTGATGAAGGTGAAGGTGTGAAGTGAATTGATGTATAGTGATTATGATGACTGTTGATAGTGGTACCTGATGGTGTCCGGATAGTGAAGATGTAACGAGCTTACAGTGATGAAAACAGTATCTAGTGAAGATGATTACAGTGACCCCCCACTGTGTAGGGAACATAGTTACAGTGACAATGGTTGTATGTAGTTAAGATATATAATTGAGTAGTTAAGATGGTTACAGTGATGATTATCATGAACAGTTTGATGGTTACAGTGATGAATGTCGTCCACAGTGATGATTGTTACAGTGATGCAGACTGTGTGTGTCAAGCTGAAAGCAGTGAAGATGGTTGTTTATAGTGACGAACAGTACCGTGATAAAGATAGTGAGTAGTAAAGGTGTAATATCCTTCTTGCGATACAATGCAAGGTACCCCGAGCAACGCCGGGGACCCGAGTACCAGAGTTAGTAAAATAAAAAAAACCAATCCAAAATGAGAGATATATTCAATATATAGCAGTGACCGCAGGAGGAGCACAGATTACCATGATGGAGTCTGGAACACACATCAAACACAGGTTACACAGAAGACTTAGTTATCAGTATATAGCAGTGACCGCAGGAGGAGCACAGATTACCATGATGGAGTCTGGAACACACATCAAACACAGGTTACACAGAAGACTTAGTTATCAGTATATAGCAGTGACCGCAGGAGGAGCACAGATTACCATGATGGAGTCTTGAACACACATCAAACACAGGTTACACAGAAGACTTAGTTATCGATAAATGAATAAAAAAAAAGATGCCTGAAAATATAAAGAAATGTTTAGAATTGAAAATGAGAAATTTGTATCAATGTTTTTATAAATATGAACTTATTAGTTCATTTTCAGTTAGACAAATCTAAGAAGAAGCGAAATAATTAACAATTTGAATGGTTACAAAGATGCAATTTATTTAATAAACATAAAGTGAGTTAATTGGAGTGGTGGAGCATGCAGATAGTATAATGATATTTAAGAGAAAGAATAAATCACTCACTTTAAATTATCAGTAAATTAGTTCAACATCTTTGGTTTAGAAAATTACTTAAATCTATATTCGCAAATATCATGTTGATTGTTACCCATATGTATAATACAACCAGTATGGGTGTATAATACAACCAGCGTGGGTGAATAATCCAACCAGCGGGGGTGTATAATACAACCAGCGTGGGTGAATAATCCAACCAGCGTGGGTGTATAATCCATCCAGCGTGGGTGTATAATCCATCCCGCGTGGGTGTATAATCCAACCAGCGTGGGTGTATAATCCAACCAGCGTGGGTGTATAATCCATCCAGCGTGGGTGTATAATCCATCCAGCGTGGGTGTATAATCCATCCAGCGTGGGTGTATAATCCATCCAGCGTGGGTGTATAATCCAACCAGCGTGGGTGTATAATCCAACCAGCGTGGGTGTATAATCCATCCAGCGTGGGTGTATAATCCATCCAGCGTGGGTGTATAATCCAACCAAGTCACGGTCGACGTGGCGCTCTAGCTGCCGTGAGGTGCAGACGTGTTGCTGGCCACTCCGGTAGTTGCTGTGTTTGCCGCTTTCGTCGGCAGGGGGTGTGGGTGTCTCTACCCTCCCTGCTGTTCCTGGCGGGTGTGGACGTGGCGCTTTTAACATGGGCAGCCATCTTCCCCCTGTTGTGAGGGGTAAACTCCGTGAGTTTGAAGTTTACTGGTCGTGCAGGATACCCTGTCGTGGAGATGGTCATGTGAGACGTGCTCCGTATCCCGGTCATGGAAATCTACGGTGTTGAGCTGGTAACTGCTCACCGTGTGCTTATCAAGTTTATGGGAGAAGCGGCATAACGTGACTTTCTCCGGCGGTACGAGGGACGTACCTTGCAGCTGCAAAATGGCACCGGATCTGTGTCTATATCAGATCGAAGCGGTGCTATGATGTATGTGAGTGTCCATGGAGCCCCCATAGAGTTTTCCCGAGACACTCCTCCGGCGTTTCTTCCAGCGGTTTGGCACCGTCGTCAGTGTGCAGATGCACACGCTGTCTTCTGGCAAGTATGCGGGTGTGAAGACCAACATTCATACCATAGGGATGCGCCTGAGGTCAGACATTCCATCCTCTGTCCGGCTTTTAGGGTACTACGTACGGGTGTACTATGCTCGGCAACCGCGGACGTGTTTTCGTTGTGGCCTGTTGGGCCATCAGGCTGTCGGGTGCACTGAAGCTGCAGCTGCTCCCGTGAACATGTTTAAGGAAGAGGATTTCCCGCCGTTCCCCCTGGAGGAGGACTCTGGGGGTGAGGAGGTGAGTGTCCCATTGGATGCTGCGGCTCCCCGTGCATCTTCTGTCATTCCTTCGGTTGTTGAGGACCCTCCTCCGGGTGTTGCCGTGCCATCGGATGTTCTTCCTGATCCCATCACTGTCCCCGCTGCTCCCGTTGACCTTCCAGGCGATCTCTGTGCGTCGTCGGCGCTCTCCCTTTCCTCGTCCTCTGCTCCTGCGCCTGCCCCTGAATCCTCACCTTGTGTTCCGTTTGTGATGGGTGTTGAGGTGGCGGTGCCGCTTCCTGCTGTGTGCGGTCCGGTTCCACCTGTGGTTGAGGCTGCTGCTGTTCTGCGTCTGGCGCTGGTTCGTCCGGCTGGTAGTGCCCATGTTTCTGGGTCCACATCCAGCTCGAACGATATCCGCCCAGAGCCCAAGCGTTCCCGGCTTTCGTCTTCTGCCTGGGCTGATGTGGTGACTTCAGTGACTGTGGGTCTTCGGGTGTTGAGGTGGATCCGGATGCATCGATGTCTACAGAGTTAGTGGTGGCGGAGGTCCATGTGCCTGCTGGTGCTGGTGCTCGTGTCTCGGACGTGCCTTTCGTTCTTTCGCCACCAGGGGACTCTCCGCAGTGGGGTATGGTGGCTTCCGCTGTCGGGGATGGTATGGATGCTGGTCCTGGGCGTGGCTTGGTGGTTACCTTACGGAAGGATGCGCGCCGTCCGGTGCCCGTGGCCGCGGGTGCCCCTGCGGTAGTGCCCTCTGTCAAGCTCGCTCCTGAGAGGTTGCGCGTTGGGGACCTGGAGGACGTGTTGCCGGCGTCTGTGATGCCACCGGGTCACGGGACAATGATTGCCGAGTTAATGCTCTCTGATGAACCGCACTGCTTTCATGCTGGGCAGATTCCCGGCGTGTGGGGACGTGTGGCGACTACTCGCCTCGTCAGTAATACCATCTGGGTCCCCTGTTTGAGGGTGTTTGTTTCCATGGTTCCGGAGGCTATGGCTTCCCTTGTGGATGAGCGGTGGTTGCTCTGGGAACCACCCCCTTGGCGGTGGTTGCTCTGGGAACCACCCCCTTGGCGGTGGTTGCTCTGGGAACCACCCCCTTGGCGGTGGTTGCTCTGGGAACCACCCCCTTGGCGGTGGTTGCTCTGGGAAGCGTCCCATGTACGGTTCCCGCGGGCCCGGTTTCCGGGCAAGTATGTCCCCTGATTACCTGTTTCTTTGCTTTATGAAGTGCTGTGCCCCTCTGTATGTTTGTCCACTTGTGTTATGTGCTCGTGCCTCTCCCTTTGTTGCGAGGCCGGTGGTTAGATGTGAGTGTTCTTGTTTATGTGTTTGTTTTATGATGTTATTGTGCCCTGTTTTTTATTTATGAATATTTTGATTTTCTTGTTCAATTTCATGTTGTTATATTTATGCCTTACTTGTACGTTATGATGATTATGTTTGTTTTGTTTCATGTGTTATTATGTTTTGTTCATTGATTGCTTGTTTACATTGTTTTCTCTTTGTGTTATGTTCTTGTCTTGAGGTTTGCTGTTTTTCTCTAGTTATGCTAATTGCTGTACTGTTCTCTCGGTCCTTCTGGCCGGTGTTTTTGTGTTTTGCTTTGTTACTATGTTTCCTTTGTTGTTTTATTGTAGTTATTGTAATTTAACTTGCATTCTTGCATAAAAAAAAACATAAAAATAGTCACGGTTGACGTAAAAGTTTAATAGGGAATCAGTGGCTGTGAGGAACATTAGATGAGGCTAACAAATCTGACCCCCGGGTGACACAGGTTAATGAGGCTACGGCCCTTAGAGTAGTTGAGGGGGAACGAGGGGGTGGCTGTACCGGCTCCTCGTTGACGAAGAAGGCGAGGGAGGCTGGAGGCTGGGACCCTAGAGATGAACAAGTGAGCATCACGTCTTCGTGGATCTGGTAGCTCATCCCAGCACCCATGATTCTCGGCTCCTCGTCAGGCAAGTCTGTCATAAGACATCGGGGAGACAAGTAAGCAAGAGGCATAACACGAACGCAGCGTGAAACCCAAGTTAATAGATGTTAGGAATTTATAAACAAAAAAATCGTCTCAGAAATAGATTTACAAGGAATGAGATGAGTGAATACTCATGGGTATATTATCATATTCTTACAGTAATACAGTATGTGACTGTGTGCCATGATACAACAGCTATTGACACAGTGCATGACAGTAAAAAGTGACATGACAACAATTCACCACACAGACAAAAATTAATACATAAAACTACCACCCAACTGTTATAATTACTACAGATGACACAAGTATCATGGACACACGACCTGTCACTGTCATGAGTCGTGTCATCACTGCATGACACACATGACAGGTAGAGCTTTTGACACATGTCACATATCGTTGAGACATGCCTATAAATTACTCTTTGGTCTTAGGAAATCAAACACAATCAACAACAGTTTCTTGCTGATGAATCTACAAGTATACTTTAGTACTGAACATAGCCACAGACAAGAGTATACTCTGTGAATATACACCGAGAAGAGTGTTACACATCTCTGAATACACATCCCCGAGGGAGTCCCTAGAATAACAAATCACTTAGATGTTAAGTTAAAAAATAATGAAATATAGAGGTGGAGAATATTTTCATAGTCTTTCAGACAATAAGCGAAAAATATATTGTTTACGGGAAAGAAAGTGTTCGATTTCTGCTTATTTACAATACTTTAATTTTTAACTGAAAAATCAAGTGAAATTTCTTGTAATAATTTGTTTAGTTTGGAAATGAAAGAAAAATGCAATATAAAGAATGAAATAATTCTGTGATTTTAAAGTAATATCAATTACTCGCCCATAACAGTCATAGAGGTACTATACTCACCCACAACAGTCATAGTGGCACTATACTCACCCACAACAGTCATAGTGGCACTACACTCACCCACAACAGTCATAGTGGCACTACACTCACCCACAACAGTCATAGTGGCACTACACTCACCCACAACAGTCATAGAGGTACTATACTCACCCACAACAGTCATAGTGGCACTATACTCATCCACAACAGTCATGGTGGCACTACACTCACCCACAACAGTCATAGTGGCACTACACTCACCTACAACAACCATGGTGGCACTACACTCACCCACAACAACCATGGTGGCACTACACTCACCTACAACAACCTTGGTGGCTCTACACTCACCCACAACAACCATGGTGGCACTACACTCACCCACAACAACCATGGTGGCACTACTCTCACCCACAACAACCATGGTGGCACTACACTCACCCACAACAACCATGGTGGCACTATACTCACCCACAACAACCATGGTGGCACTATACTCACCCACAACAACCTTGGTGGCTCTACACTCACCCACAACAACCATGATGGCACTACACTCACCCACAACAACCATGGTGGCACTACACTCACCCACAACAACCATGGTGGCTCTACACTCACCCACAACAACCATGGTGGCTCTACACTCACCCACAACAACCATGGTGGCTCTACACTCACCCACAACAACCATGGTGGCTCTACACTCACCCACAACAACCTTGGTGGCTCTACACTCACCCACAACAACCATGGTGGCTCTACACTCACCCACAACAACCATGGTGGCTCTACACTCACCCACAACAACCATGGTGGCTCTACACTCACCCACAACAACCTTGGTGGCTCTACACTCACCCACAACAACCATGGTGGCTCTACACTCACCCACAACAACCATGGTGGCTCTACACTCACCCACAACAACCTTGGTGGCTCTACACTCACCCACAACAACCTTGGTGGCTCTACACTCACCCACATCAACCATGGTGGCTCTACACTCACCCACAACAACCATGGTGGCTCTACACTCACCCACAACAACCATGGTGGCTCTACACTCACCCACAACAACCATGGTGGCACTACACTCACCCACAACAACCATGGTGGCACTACACTCACCCACAACAACCATGGTGGCACTACACTCACCCACAACAACCATGGTGGCACTACACTCACCCACAACAACCATGGTGGCACTACACTCACCCACAACAACCATGGTGGCACTACACTCACCCACTACAACCATGGTGGCACTACACTCACCCACAACAACCATGGTGGCACTACACTCACCCACAACAACCATGGTGGCACTACACTCACCCACAACAACCATGGTGGCACTACACTCACCCACAACAACCATGGTGGCACTACACTCACCCACAACAACCATGGTGGCACTACACTCACCCACAACAACCATGGTGGCACTACACTCACCCACAACAACCATGGTGGCACTACACTCACCCACAACAACCATGGTGGCGACGTCAGACTCCGTGTGAAAGTCAGGGGCTTCAGCCGACACCTCACAGCGGAAGACCCCTGAGGCGCCGAGAGTGACGTCATACACCTTGACCCTGCCCCTGTGGGAGGCGCCGGTGTCGACGGCCAGGGGGTCGCCCCTCACAGGGAAGGTCTTCACCTGCGGGGTCTCGGCCGGCGTCCACCGGTAGAACTCGTCCAGGCCCAGGTACCACTTGAGGGCGTAGATGCTCTCACCCTCGTCCACGAACTCACACTCGAGCACTCCGCCTTTCCCCACGGCCACGGGCGTCGGGACGTGCACCTTGGTGATGTGGAGGCCCTCAACCACCTCTGTAAGTGCATCACAAGCATAACATTAGTGTGGTCAAATCCACATATATACCCCAGGTTCTGAGAGATATATGACTCATATATCATATATCTCATATATCATATAATATGGCAGAGAAAACAATTCCAGACAGTATTATTATAATCAATAAGTTTGATGCAAATATTCTGACTTAATTTTAAACTAATATTATACTAATAATGTTCTGAAATTGTGTGTAAATTTAATTATATATATTTATAATTATTTATCAAATAAAATTTTTATTTTATTTAATTGGGGAATATGTTTGATAACTATACAACTTGTGGAATATGATCTTTGAATATTCCATCCTGAAAGCTTGTGAGTTTTCAGGATTGTATGGCTCCTGTATTTTTATAGTATGAACTTGTATTTTCATGGTAGGTCATGTATTTGATAGTATTGAATGTATCTTCATAGTAGGTATATTCATGTATGTTGTTGTAAATATTCAAAATTTATTCATCCCCTTTTAGTACATCAAGAAGACTTCTTGTATTAACAATAGTAGTTTACCAACTTGTAGATTAATCATAATCATGTCTTCTGATACTGCGCAATATTATGCCGAAAGTTTCCTACTGCGTGTCGGTTGCGTCAGCAAATTCGTCGAGGACAGATAACATCTACATTTCAGAGAATTAAATTTTATTATCTGTACGTATCAGTATTCTTGCTAAGAACCATTGAATGATAATATATAAACCAGTGATCACTTCAATTAGAGTTAACAGCGAAAGATCACAAATTAATCATAATATTCTGTTATCACAGCCTATCATGGAGGAATGAAATTATTCTTCCATTTCTCGTCTATGTGAATTTGTTCATCTTAATCATTATATGACGAGAATATACATAAGATCACCTCCTTATATTATCAAACCCAGTCTTATCGTCTCACTAAAGAAAATAATCATTAGGAGAGGAAGTATGTTGACCAGACCACACACTAGAAGTTGAAGGGACGACGACGTTTCGGTCCGTCCTGGACCATTCTCAAGTCGATTCAGTCGAGAATGGTCCAGGACGGACCGAAACGTCGTCGTCCCTTCAACTTCTAGTGTGTGGTCTGGTCAACATACTTCAGCCACGTTATTGTGACTCATCACCTGCATTAGGAGAGGAACTTTCCGTTTTACTACGGCGAGCTTCGCGCCTGCGCAGACTAGACGGGGTACAGGGTAGAGAGGAGAGCCGACATTCGCACAGGAGATTCCATCGAGAGGCGACCATGTTACCGGTGCAGGCTGCACGGAGTACGCAATTTAGCGGACCATTCAGAGGACTTGCAGGCATCAGCGAGCGTCTGGGTGCCGCAGTGACTCCTACAACGATTATACGATCGTTTCAGCAAGCACCACATTGGTTAACTAACATTATTTTGGGTGTAGAGAGCTCTTTATAACAACTTTAGGTGCTTGCGTGTCGTTACGCTGCTCGCCCTCCTCTAAATATGAAGCTCAATTCCATTGCAATGTCACACAAAATAATTAAATCAAATTAAAATAATTTGATATCTATGAAAATAATTTGATATCTATGAAAATAATTTGATATCTATGAAAGTAATTTGTTATCTATGAAAATAATTTGATATCTATGAAAATTTAATTTATCAATGAAAATGGAACCATTGAAATAGAATCGTAACATATTTAGTATAGCTTGAGTTGCTCTTAAATGCTACAGATGGCGCTGTTTTTTTTTTTAAATGCATATTTTTACCTGTCACAGGTGTCGCATCTATACTTATACTCACAAAATGAACGGTATGGTAAATAACACAGCTCAATTCCCATGCAATGTCACACAAAATAATTGAATCAAAATTAAAATAAATCGAAATCTATGAAAATTCAATTTATCAATACAATCAGAAACAATGAAATGGAATTGTAACATGTTTAATATAGGGTGGATGACTCTTACGTGCAACAGATGGCGCTCTTTAAAAAAAAAAAAACATTTTTTTACCTGTCACAGGTGTGGCATATATATTTATACTTATGAAATGAACGGTATGGTAAACAACAAAGCTCAATTCCAACATAATGTGTAACAAAATCATTCAATACAAATTAAAATAAATAGAAATCTTTGAAAATTAAATTTATCAATGCAATCGGTAACATTGAAATGGAATTCGTGACATATTTAGTATTGCAAATGTGTTATAGTAGTGCAAGTTTTAGTATTGCAAGTGTGTTATAGTAGTGCAAGTAGAGAGCTCTTTACAACAACTTTAGGTGCTTGTTTGTCGTTACGCTGCTGGTCCTCCTCTAAATACGAAGTAAGTCCCAATTTGGACTAAACCCTCCATATAGTTAGAAACAGATGCAAATTAATCACGAGATAGGCAGTGTTTTACAAATCTATTATATCAGCCTGTATCGGAGCGACGCGAGACAAGATAAGTCTTTCTTCCACGTGACACCAGACTGCATGGCAAAACAAGCCTAGTGACACGTCGCCTTTGTATCGTGTTTCTATCTCTTCTAAACAGCTAAACTGTTATATCTTGTTATTTGTAGAACTAACCAGTAGTGTATTGTTGATCTTTAATAGGATCAGTCTTATTTAACAATTTTATCGCCATTTGATATTTACTTATATTTCCCATTTATCTTTATAATCTACTAGCAGTACCCGGCCACAGCAACCTTCTCTGTCCCCCAGTCCTCCCACCATTCCCCCTCACCGTCTCCTCGGCCTCCCCACCATTCCCCACTCCACTATCCCCTCTTCCTTCTCTCCATGCCCTACTCCCTTGTCCCTTTGTCCTCCCCACCACTCTCCATTCTCCCATCCCCTCGTTCCTCCCCGTCCCCTCGTCCTTCCCCACAATTATCCCCTCCCTTGTCCCCTCGTCCTCCCCACTATCCCTCACTTATGTCCTCTCGTCCTCTCCACCATTCCCCCACTCCCTCGTCTGATGCCTTCCCAAATGGTCTGATGTTCCCATCAGAAAATTGGGAACATCAAGTGATCTGATGTTCCCATCACTGAAATATAAGAAAAAACTAAAAAAAGAAATGAAAATATGAAAAAACTAAAAAAATAAACTATACTCACGAAATGAACAGTATGGTAAACAACACAGCTCAATTCCAACGCAATTCACACAAAGTAATTAAATCAAAATGAAAATAAATCAAAATCTATGAAAATTCAATTTATCAATGCAATCAGAAACATTTAAATGGAATTGTAACATTTAGTATAGCATGTGTGTTGCTCTTATATGCAACAAATGGCACTGTTTTCAAGAAAAGCATAGTTTTACCTGTCACAGGTGTGGCATCTATACTTATACTTATGAAATGAACGGTATGGTAAACAACACAATTGAATTCCAACACAATGTCACAAAATAATTCAATAAAAAATAAAATAAATCGAAATCTATGAAAATAAAATTTATCAGTGCAATCGGAAACATTGAAATGGAATTCATGACATATTTAGTATAGCGTGAATGTTGCTTTTATGTGCAACAGATGGCGCTGTTTTTCAAAAACGCATGTTTTTACCTGTCACAGGGGTGGCATCTATATAGTAGGTATATAAAAAGACGAACCTATTCCAATGCAACGTTGTGTCAAAATTTCACAGTAATCGGTGAAGAACTTTCGGAGATTAGCGGATATGCACAAACGAACATTTCCATTTTTATTTAAATAGTGTGAATTTACCTCCATTTTTTTCATTATACAATAACATAATACCATAGCCAGAGTTCTTTCTGATGATGAACCAGCATCGGAGTATTAGTGTTAGTGACTTAATGGTTACTTACCACCCATTTTTATTTGAGGAGTGAAGTCGACTCTTAATTTCTTAAGTCTTATCAATGTTATCAATATACAGTCTTATCAATGTTTCATGTCACATTGACTATTATTGAAATCTATAAGTACTAGTTCATGGATTTAATTTCAATATCTGCTCAATTTAGTTTTCCTCTTTTTCACATTTAGAGGTGCAGAGTCCTTCATAGCTCTTGAATGTATCATTATTTCCATTAATTCATATGAGTCAAATTTTCCTTCACGACATGTGTCACAGTATGTCATGTATTATCACAGTACTTCATATTCACAGTATGTCACGTATTATCACAGTACTTCATATTCACAGTATGTCACGTATTTTCACAGTACTTTATATTCACAGTACGGCTATGGAAACGTTAGTTGTTTAACTCTCAGGATGCTTCTGACGCCTGTGTGTGATGGTACTATCGTGGTCAACGCTCAGATACCATTGACACCACACAGATACCATTGACACTACACAGATACCATTGACACCACACAGATACCATTGACACTACACAGATACCATTGACACCACACAGATACCATTGACAACACACAGATACCATTGACAACACACAGATGCCATTGACACCACACAGATACCATTGACACCACACAGATGCCATTGACACCACACAGATACCATTGACACCACACAGATACCATTGACACCACACAGATGCCATTGACACCACACAGATACCATTGACAACACACAGATACCATTGACAACACACAGATGCCATTGACACCACACAGATACCATTGACACCACACAGATACCATTGACACCACACAGATACCATTGACACCACACAGATGCCATTGACACCACACAGATACCATTGACACCACACAGATACCATTGACACCACACAGATACCATTGACACCACACAGATACCATTGACACCACACAGATGCCATTGACACCACACAGATACCATTGACACCACACAGATACCATTAACACCACACAGATACCATTGACAACACACAGATACCATTGACACCACACAGAAACCATTGACACCACACAGATACCATTGACACCACACAGATACCATTGACACCACACAGATACCCTTGACACCACACAGAAACCATTGACACCACACAGATACCATTGACACCACACAGATACCATTGACACCA